GTTTTTTTTTTTTTTTTTTTTTTTTTTTTACTTTTTTTGTGTTTTTTCGTGACCGGCAACGGATCGCAACCCTCAGTGTCGCGCCCGTACCAGACCAGGACCGGCAACGGGATCGCAACCCTCGGTGTCGCGCCCGCACCTCGCTCAGCCAGTGAGCAGCCAGTCTGTATGTGGGATCCGAACCCTCGGCGGGAGCGCCGCTGCACTCCCAAGCGGTGCACTGTAGCAGTGCGCCACCGGGCCGGCCTAAACTTTAGGTTTTATAAAGACTTTTGAACTAATACAAAAGTGTGGAAATGGGTTGCAAAAATCACTGCTTCAGTTTTTGCATACGTTGAAAATAAGGCACAGACCAAGACATCACATGATTTTTCTAAGAATGGAGCACGTGAAACTGCCTTTAAAATTAAATTTCAATTTGTTCTTTCCAATAAGCAATAGTGCTTTTCTAGAAAAAAGTCCACATTATTAAAAAAAAGAACATATTAAAATCAAACAATTTACCCGTTAACAACTTTTCATCAGGCCCAATCCATGTGTAGGTGGGGTCCACTGTTTCTTTACCAGCACGTTCAAAATCCATACAGACAAGGACTGGGCTATTTTGATGTAATTTTACATATATTTTCACTGTGACAAAATAAAATAATGCATAACTACATTATATAGCAAAATTAAGAAATACACTCCTACCATTTTGTCCCAAGGACACCAATTAGTTCTTTTTGGAGTTCATTATATTAAAAATCATTATATCTAGCATGATAGTATGAAGTCCTTTTTGTTTCTCACAATAAGTTTTTTAAACTTTAGACTGTTAGAGAGTCATGATATTTTTTTTCCTGTGATATTATAGTTTTAATTGTTTATGAAATGTACGGAATACATTTAGAAGTTGATTTCAATGATTCAGAACTTGAATCATAATTTTTTGAAGGGTTAGTGGAATCGATTTAAAGTTCAGAAAATGTCTTGAGCTTGGTTGCAAATCTATTTTAAAGAAGATCACGGTCATCCCCAAGGGAAACTTGATATTTAACTGTGACTTTCCTCTGTTGGGAACAATTATCAAGCCTATGTGAGGCATACTAGGAAGATGTTCTGCAATTACCTATTTAGTTTCAGATCTGCAGCGACAGCATGCTTGGAACTAACATAGTCTCACCAGATACTAAAGCATACTGAATGCCAGGCTATGAGCACATACAGACACTGTCCTACAATCCGGTGGGGGGGTACAGGGGAAAGAGTCCAAACATGACAAATGTTATGAACTGGCTCAAAGTTATCCAAAGCTGGCTAAGTGACTAACTTTCTCTGGGGAGTGTGGGAAAGTTTCACACAGTGATAAATGACATTTGGGCAGAGCCTTAAAGAATGAGTAGGAGTTCTTTTAGTTAATAAGGGGAGGGATAAGGGTGTTCCAAACAGAGGGACTTCCAGGCCTGGAAAGCAGGAGAGATCCCTGGAAGTAAGGTGGCGTTAGAGAAAGAGATCTGGATTGAATCCTAGCTCCTTACGAACTGTGCGGCTCTAGGCAAGACGATACAACTAAGGCATATAGGGTCGCTGTAAGGGTGAAAAGATGCAACGTTCACTAACTGCCGAGCACACGGTAGATGCTCAATAAACGCTCGCTCCCTCCCTTCTCCTCTGAGCAGGTCCCCTGCACCCCCGGCTCTCCTGATAGGCTCTGCCTGTGAACAGGTCCTTATTACCTGGGTGTCCTGCCTCGCCATAAACGAAGCCTTTCTTAGTGAGTAAGGAAGACCGCTGCCATCCAACTGCGGAGGAAAAAAACCACTAACTGATGAGGTAGAAGAGGAGACAGAGCTCGGAGTAGGGCAGGGCGGGGCGAAGCGGAGAAGACAGGACGGGGAAACTCGGCCAGAGGAGAGAGGCCTGGGGGCCGGGCGGAGGGAGCCCCACCTCCAATGAGGCACCAGAGCACCGCGGAGAGTAGGACCCACGCTCGCATCACGGTTCAGGGGCTCGCGTCGAGGGGTGGGCTCCTTCCTACCTCAGCCCCGGCACAACGCCTCCTCAACTCTCTTCTACAGAGCCGACAAAACCGCCGACGTCGGCCCCATACCGGTCCCTAGCTACCAGGGGAAACGCGTGCGTGCTGCGGTCCTCGAGCGCGGGGGCGGGGCGAGTGCGAGGGAGGACAGCGCCTGCGCGGGAGGTCAGCGCCTGCGCGCCTGCGCGGCCGCCGTCGTCTAGCGCCTCGCGCCTCTAGTCTGGCGCCATTTTCCCGCGCTCTCAGCGGCCTATTTCTTTGAGTGGTGCTGAAGGAGAGAAGAGAGTAAAGGAAGAGAACCCAGGGCTTCGTGTTTCGGGGTGTAGTCCTTAGTGTAGGGACTGAAGGGATTGACGAGAGAACTGAAGGATGGAAACGGTTTGAGAATTTCCTCCTCACCTGAAGCAGAGAACCCCGCATGGGAATTTTCTATGCCTTTTTTTTCTCATGAACTCTGTCTGAAAGTGCGTGCCCAGTTTCTTTCAAACTCTGACACCGAAGTTTTGCCTAACTGCATTTTTCTACCCACAAAACCAAGACCCAGAAGAACTGCTAGTGTGCCAACACAGCACCTGCAGGCCTTCCCACTCTAGAGGAACATCGAATCTTCATTTTCAACTGCAAGCATGAGAAGATGTGGAGAGATCCCCCAATGCAAATTTATCTAAGGTCGTGAAGTAACCTTGTTTTAAAAAACGGGCCCAACTGAAAGGCAAGAGCCCAAGATCTGCTTTTCTTGTGGGGATGGATGATTAGTCAAGATCAGAGAGCTCCGAAAGATCATTGTTCTTTCTTGGCTACTCGTTGGGTGGCCTGAAAGGCTTTATGTGTTGTCTGTTTCTTAGCAGCGGGGCACCACCCTCAGTAGTGGTTTTGAGTAGGCTGGTAGGTAGAGTCCAAGGTTCAGACTGGGTGCAGAATGATTATTTTGGGTGAGATCAAGAGTTTTCAGTTTTATTTCCTTTAAGCCGAGTCAGTACTTGGACTCTCTCAGATGGTCCAGGAGCAACCTTTGTCAGTAATTTCATTTTTAGTCACTGTTAATTTTACTTATGTAGCATAGCCATGAAATGTGATTCAATGAGTCAGATCCACCATTGGCAGTTACCATGTCAAGATTCATGGTTTAGTCTCAACTGTTTCCCTCTTAAGGTGATGATAATGAAGACAAATTTAAGCATTATCTTCGATTCCCTAGAAGTTTGTCATTCCAATTTTAGTCAAATTATTACAAATCCACAGTGTGTTTTGTTGGCTTCCCAGTTATTATAAGTAATTGATCCTTCTAAATACTGTGTGGTAAATTTTGAATCCTGTGAGAAGAGACTTAACCCAATGAGTAGTAGTTTTCTATTGAAAGTATACTCTTTTTAAATAAACTTTTTATTTTAGAAGAGATTTACAGAAAAATTAAAAATACACTAGAGAGAGTTCTTATGTACCCACACCCAGTTTTCCCTACTATTGACATCTTACAATAGTATCATACATTTCTCACAATTAATAAACCAATATTGATACATTACTATTAACTAAAGTCAGATTCCCTTAGTTTTACCTAATGCCCTATTTCTGCTCGACGATCTCATCCTGGATCCCATATTACATTTAGTTGTCGTGTCTCCTTAGGTTCCTCTTGGCTGTGACAGTTTGTCAGACTTTCCTTGATTTTGATGACATTGACCTGGCCTTAACTGGTCAGGTATTTTGTAGAATGCCTGTTTACTGGAATTTGTCTGATGTTTTTCTCATTGTTAGACTAGGGTTATGGGTTTTTGGGAGGAAGGCCACAGAGGTAAAGCGACATTCTCATCACATCATATCAAGGGTTATCAACATGCCTCATTGCTGTTGATGTTAACCTTGATCAACTGGCTGAGGTAGTGTTTGTCAGGTTTCTCCACTTTAAAGTTACTCTACACACCTTTTATACTACACTCTTTGGAAGGAAGTCACTCTGTGCAGCCCACACTTAAGAAGTGAGGATTTATGCTCCACCTCCTTGAGGGTGGAGTAACTACCTGAATTATTTTACCCATCTACTTTTTATCTGTTCCCTTAGGTATCCCTCTCTGGAGTCTAAATACTCAATACTGAACTATTTACAGAGTAGTAACACATTCCACTGTAAGAAAATTGTAATGGAAGATAATAAAGGTTCCTTACAACTTTTTAATGACCAAATAATTATTCATCCTCACACCATCCTGTGAAATTTTACAGTTCCTCTTCTGCTACTTTTGATGTGCTATTTTTGCTTTTAGAAACTAACAAACAACAAATTTCCCCTTTCAGTACTAAAGTTAGACCTAGTGTTTAGTGTATTTCTCTGAAATTGATATTATCCTGCAGAACTCCAACTCATACAGCTATAGACATGCTACTGCAGTGCTGTATTCTTAAAGCCAATACAAGTTATTTACTCATTTAAATATATAGATAGATAGATAGATACACATATATATTACATAGACTGCCTATACTATGGTACTATTTAAAATAAACTAAAATTCATAAAATTACAGCATGCATACTTTAACTCATAAGTGTGAGTTTCTTCTGATATGATCAGCTTATGCACAAGCCTTCAATCTTAAGTCTCAAATATATTTGTATGCATTACCAATGTAATTTTCTAACAAGGGTGGCAGTGGCCTTTTTGAGAATCATTTGTATATTATCCATTTCAACACACTAGTTATTTTTAGAAGGACTCACCTGAAGACCTTAGTGTAAAGAAAAAGTTCTGCTCCGAAAAACTGTTTTGTGGTCACTTCCCCTTTCCTCTCCCTACAATCAAATGTGTTGACTGGTACATCTCTGTGTGCTAACATCTTTGAGTTAACTTTACTGTCTTACTACCTCTTTCCAGCTCTACTATCTTTACTTACTTTTCTGGTACATCATATATGTATTTTTGGAAGGTGTTTCATTTGGAAGGTGGCAGGGTAGTAGAAAATAACGATACATAGATAGAGTGAGTAGTGTTTTGTTAGTGGTGGCAAATAAACCAAGCAGTTCCCAGAAGGGAAAACAAAAGTGACAGAACTGCTTAAAAAAATTAAATAGTTCAGTTGATAAAACTGACAAAATCCTTTTGAACTGTTTTTCTGAAAACTTGGACCAAGGACTTTTATCATGTGAATTGAAAAACTGAGGAAGACAAAAACACAACCCAAACCAACTAATACTTGGAATGAAATGAGTTCTCATTGATGTTTTCATGGCTATCATCCTCGAATCTAGACATAAATTCCAGATATTGCACAATTTAAGACAAACATCTTTGAACTTGAGCTTGCCCAAAAAAGCAATGCAGACCCCCACAACCCAATGTGATATTACGCTCTCATCCAGTATCCTTCTAAAATAGACATTTTGAGACCATGTACTGATGCTCAGTTTCCATCCTATCAGGCAGGGTTCCTCGGGTTTGACATTCAAAAGGGGGCTGGAGGCGAGGAACCTGCGACGCTCCGCTGTGAGCGTCCTTTAAAGCCACAGCCAGCCAGCGCCGCTGTAACCCCGCTCACTGGCAGGTCGCCGGCTGCTGCCCCTTTCAATCTGCGCCGACGCGGAGGCCGGATCCCGGGGACTCCCCGCGCTGGGAATCTCCCGCCAGCTGCGCGCTGCTTCCCGGCGACGGCAGGAGCACGTGGAGCGGCCGGGCTGCCAGAGCGGTAGCTCCAGCCCAGCCCGGCTCGGCGGCGACATGGAAGGTGAGCCTCCAGCCAGCTTCTTTCCTGAGGGGTCTCCGAGAAGCTCGACCGGTGCACGCAGCAGAAAGAGCTCCTGAATCTCGGTTTTGCTTTTCATTTATATCTTTTGTTAAAAGTAAATATGAGGAAATTCAGAGGGCAAAGCGTGCAAGTTCTCATACATCCCTCATTTGTCTCCCATTCCCACCCCTTCCACTTTAGAGAGTGATAACTTCTCCGAAATTTTATTTCTTGAGGGGTGGTCAGACATAAGTCTGCAGAGAAAGAGTACTTCTGGAGCGTCTCTTAAATGGTAGCAAACCTGGGATGGAGTAACCAATCTTTTTGGATTTTTTTTTTTTTTTTTTTTTTTTTTTTTTTTTGGCCATGGCCTCAGTGTCTACTGGAATTAAGCTAATCTGAGTGACTTGTTTTGCAAGAAATGTGCCTGTTTTTTTCTTGTAAGGGTAAATGCTGTCACATGGGAAAGGTAAATTTTAAAGTGGTTGGCACTTGCATTTCCCTTGGAACTCCATCTTCTAATGAGCTTTCTGTACCCAAAGCAAAAATCAGGTTCACATTAAGAGTTTCATTTGAATTAATTTTGAAAATCATAAAACTATCCTTGCTTCTCAAATTTTCAGTATGTACTTCCTTGGGAAAACTAAAATTTCACACTGCTGTTGTGAACTCTTCAATAGTCTTCTCAACAAGTGTTTCTAAAACCTTGAAAATGGCAGATGCAACCCATCTTGGGGAAGGTGGTGGTATTTAGAAAATCAGAATTTGTGAGAAATGTATTCATTTTTTAAAAAAAGATACGCCTAACTAATTAAAATGTTAATTTGATAAATATTATCAAAGAGTGGAAGGAGCTCTCATTGACAAAGAACCTTGATCTTTGGCAGCTTTAGTTCTAGAGTGTATGTCATTATTAAAATATGATTAAATACTTTGGGACAGATAAATATGGTAAAGCTTTTGTTTCACTCAGTATAATTGAGTGCAATAATTGAATTCTTAATTCTAAGATTATAAATGGATATGCTTACTAATTATTTTTACTATGTTGATGAATGTAAACCTTTTTTTCTCTTAGTGAAATGCCAAATGATAACTCAATGAACAGTATGTGTTTATTAAATAGCAACTTTTATTATTTTTTATTTGTATTTTTTTGGTGGCTGGCTGGTATGGGGTAAATAGAAACTTTTAAATGGTCATTAATGAATAGTGCTTCAAGTGTTTTCTCTTATGAAAAACTCTTTATGCTTTTAATTTTTTAAGTTAGCAAGATTTAAAAAATAACTTTAAAAGTTTTACACTTTGAACATTTAAATAATGGTTTATGAAGTGCCATTTTTAAAATGTAAAACTTTCAGTGACCAAAAACA